CTGTCTGAAATGTAATGGAATATAAAACACCGTGATACGTGTACAAGTATTTACCTAGACCACATTGCTTTACTTTCTTATTATAAAGCTAGGGCATACTCATGTTTTTAAAAAAAAAATCAAAGTTTTCTAAACTGATCCAACGAAAGAACTAAAATCCCAACCAGGCACCCACCACAAGTATGATGGGAAGCAAACTTTATGATAAACCTGTATGTATAATTGTGCATACACAAAAATACCAAGAAAGGGCACACTTAGTAATAGAAATCAATGCTAATGGGCAAAGTGATTATTTCACTCTGTTCTGCTTGATCTGTTTAATATTGCATTGCAGATGTGTTTTAAATGATGTTTTAAAATTTAGAAGATGGAGCACCCCTGATGGCTTCTCTCTCTCTCTCTCTCTCTCTCTCTCTCTCTCTCTCTCTCTCTCTCTCTGACTCATTATGGGAAACTGTTCTTCCTTGTGGTTCTAAAGGAGCATCCACAGTGCCTCACATCTTCCTCCTCCAGGCCCTGAGCTGGGCCATTAGCTTCCTCTCATTCAACCACAGTACAAAATAAGTGAACCAGAAAAGTTTTCTGTGAAACCACCTTCTCCTGCCACCCACTCTCACATTCAGTTCTGGAAGTTTCTGTGTGTAGGTGAACTATGACGTTCGACTGTTTGAACTAGCCTATTTGTTTATATTCGTTCCTCATTTCCCTTCTCTTGGCTGCATTAGTCATGCTATTTGCTGCATTATGTTGGGTTATTACATCTCTCCTCTGATGGCACACTGCCAGACTCCTCATTTACTTCTCCTTTGCACCGGACCATTAGCCATCTCAAGAATTGAGGACCCGGGTCATTTCCTCTCACAGCAGCAGATCCATTGCCGTCACCCTGCAGCTCTGAGTGTCTGCGCAGCTCAGACTCTCCTTTTGGGCCTTTTGTGAATACGCATTCTTAACGAAAATGCTGAGCAGGGACCATGCTGACAGTGCCATGATCCTGAGCTGGAACAACCAGCCTAGCTTCAGCACTATGAAAACACTAATAAGTAGGCAACCCTCTACCACTTCATTAATTTATTTAAACAAGTCATTTCCAGATACTGTGTAAAAAACTGGTAAATCACCAATAACTTTGGCAATATCTTTTTCCTTTATAAATTCATAGTTTTGTTGTATAGACGGGACAGATATGTGAGTATATATTTATAGCAAGAGGCACGGTTTTACAAATATTCAAACAAAATATTTTCTTAGAAAAAAGCATGTCCTATTTACCTATTGTTATCTCTGTCAGATGAATGGATGAGCACATGATTTTTATTGCCCCTATTTTTCTTTATTTGTATTTTTAAGAAAATTTCTCCTAACACATGCAATAAAATGCAGTGGACAGTCTTGTTTGGATACTGGTTCAAGCAAGCTAACTGTAAAAAAATATTTATAAAGAAAATCAAGAAACTTAAATTCTGGATATTTGATGATATTAAAACAGTATTAGTCTTGTGAGTTTTGTTTAAAATGCTACAATAATATTGGAAAGATAATCTATCTTTTGGAGAATGCACTGATATATTTATGGACGAAATGAAATGCTCTCTATGGCTTTTGTGGGCAATTAATTCATCATGTGTAATAAGTGGCTAGGAACTTTTTATTTTTATTTAAATAACTATCTTTTCATTTATTTTTCGTATCAATCAGTTTCCCCTCCCTTCCTCCCTTCCTCCCTTCCTCTAGTCTTCTCCCCTTCCCTATCTACCTCCCTCCCCATATGTTCCTCCATTTCCACTCAGAAAGAGGCAGGTCTCCCATGGGCTTGCAGTGCCTAGGAATTTAAATATTTCTTTGTGTGCTGAAAAACACGCAGCCCACAGTAACATACTCACTGTGTGTTGTACTACTCTTACCACGTGTCCTTGTGATCATCTGGTTCAGGGGTATGCTCTTATAAATTCAACTCAGTTTAAAATATTTACTGTTTATATGCCTTTGCATATAAGAATGAAAAATTTTTCTTCCAAACCCTGTGTCTTAGTTAGAGTTTCTATTGCTGTGAAAAGACAATATGACCACAGCAACTCTTTTGTAAGAAAACATTTAATTGGAGCTGGCTAGCAGTTCAGAAGTTTAGTCCATTATCATCACGGTGGGAAGCATGTGGTATGCAGGCAAACATGGTGCTGGAGAGGTAACTGAGCATTCTGGCTCAAGAGGCAGCAGGAAGAAAGAATAAGCCATTAGACCTGGTTTGAGCTTCTGAAACCTCAAAGCCCACCCCCTTCAATGACACACTTTCCTCCAGTAAGGCCACACCTACTCCAACAAGGCCATACCTCTTAACACTGCCCCTCCCTATGGGCCTTTTGGGGCCATTTTTATTCAAACCACCACATCTTGCCTGGTCATTAATTCTATTATTTGGACTCTATACATACAATGGAGACCAGTAACAAACCTCTATGATTGTTTGCTTACTGATACTTAACTAATAACATCATGTTGTACATGAAGCCTGTCTACTATATAGTAGTTTTGTTGTTGGTTTCACTACAGTTTATTTTTGGCTTAGGTGTTATTTGTTTGTTTCCTTTATTCTTATTACTAGGCAAAAGAGCATCAGTGACCAATGTTATCTTGTCTTTTTATACAAACAGCTCTCTTAAGACCTGGTACATTCATTCCTACATTACAAGTGCTCAATATATATCTGTTAACTTAAATAAATACATTAAATTATGATTACTCCATTTGCAGATCTATGCTTTTCCAGCATGGTCATGTATACTAAAACTAAAGAAAGTAAACTAATTCATGTTCTATGATTCCTTCCTGCTCCATAATTCAGCCGATCTGAAATATCACTTGATCCAAGGCTAAGTGTCCATCTAACACAATAACAAATGGAATAGATACATCAGCTAGAAAAACTCTCATTTATGTTTTAAGAAACAAGAATCAAAAGAAATTACTCTTCACACAGCTGTGATTTTAAAATATGATCAAATTTCTTAATATTTAAACAAAATTTTAATTATTATATGGGTGTCTATGTGGAGGTATGTGTTGTGCGAATTCTAATTGGTCTTAATAATAAAAACCTGGAGTCAGATATCAGGGTAAATGCTGAAAGATCAGAGAAATAAAGGAGTCAGTCATTAGAAAGACCTTTTACCTCTACTGAATCCTCAGACCGAAGGGGGCAAGATCCTGTCTCCACGAATCCTCAGACTGAATGGCATCTCTACAAATCCTTAGTCTGCATTGAACTCCTGTCTTCTTCTGCCTTATATTATTCTCTTTGCACAACCATATTACTCCTGTCTCCACCTCCCTAGTGCTGGACTTAAAGGCATGGAATCCCAAGTGCTGGGATCACCTTTGTGTGCACTCTGTTTCTCTTATAGACTGGATTAATTTCATGTAGCCCAGGATAGCCTTGAACTAACAGATCTATCTGCCTCTACCTCCCAAGTCCTGGGATTAAAGGTGTGTACCACCACTGCCTGGCCTCTGATGGCTTAACTCTGCACTCCGATCTTCAGGCAAGCTTTATTTGTTAAAACACAAACAAAATATCACTACAAGTATGTGAAAATGAGTAGCCGCAGAGGCCAGAAGAGGGTGTCAGATCCTCTGGAGCTGCAGTTACAGGCAGTTGTGAGCTGCACTTATGTGGGTGCTGGGTCCTCTGCAAGAGCAGTCTATACTCTTAGCCACATACTCTCTGGCCCCTGCAGCATACCAGGACAATAACACTATTCTATTCACCATTAAGAAAGAGCTATTTGGTTTGAAGTAACTGCTAGATTTGGAAGCATTCTGTAACCTCAAATTTTATGTGTCAGTTTTTTAAAAAGATTCACATGGAAACAAACAAAAAGACTTTTAGATGTTTAATTATATTTAACTTATACTTCATGGCCATTAAACTCAAAACTTCCAGAAAGAGAGAAATTTGTTTGTCAGTGGGTTTGTTTTTGTTTGTTTGTTTGCTTGGGGTTTTTAATTAAGCAACTTGGTCCTTGAAAGGGAGGATGCAGAAATCAAAGGCCTGATTGTGCTGGATCCCTCTTTGTAGTCATTATTCAGCCCGGTTCCCAGCAGGCTGCAGTTGAAAGGAAAAGATCCAAGTTCTGCTTAAAAATCAGACTAAAGAGCTGGCTCAGCACCCTGCTCACATTATGCTGTCTGCATTCACCACTTTGGTCTTGAGATAGTAAGTTGTATGCAATGACCTCAGGCTTCTGGGATAATTATAGGAAGCACCCCTCTGACCTGCTTATGAGGGAAGGAATGTTTTGTGGCGGTTTTTGGTTTTCCAGAAGGACTCCCAGAACATCAAGATCCTCAGGTATAAATGAAACCCCGGGAACAATGTCACAAAAGTGAACTATTTTTTTCCTACTTCGTTGAGAGAAAGAGAACAAAATTGATTATGTTTGCTCATCTCCCTGACTATTGAGGACTCTCATTCCTAGAGGGACACGATTTTTTTCTTCTCTATCTCACCATCTGCGAGAATGATGCGCAATCTATTTGGGGGTGGGGGGAACACTCGTACAATTTCCCAATCAAAAAATTTCTGGGAGCTGAGATGCAGAAACATCAAGAGACTGTCAACACTGGTCACTAAAAGCAGGGGTTTCTAAGGTTTAACAGAATCATATTTTTGAGTATAATTCTATAGGTGTAATAGAATTATACCTTTTGAGTATAGCAGGAAGCGATTTTGGAGCAGATACTGCAGAAGAATCACAAGTCAAAATTAGACGAGATTACCCATTTCTCCTTGACAGGTTCACAGGTAGAGGGGCATTTATTTAGTCCTTGAGGTACAACAACCATGCCTAGCGTCCTGAAATCCGACTAGACTCGGACATTGGAATATGCCCAGGACTGCGGCATGGAAAATACGCTAGCCTGCCAGTCGCCCCTCCCCCTCTCTGTTCCCGCGGGATTGGAGTAGCTCTGGGTCGCTGACGCCATCCTCAAGCCCCTGGTTTGCATGGAGCATGCGCCTCCTCCTCACTTCCTCTCCAGGAGCTAGTGGAGTAAAGCTACGCCCAGACTTGCGTCCGCCCGCTCAGGAACTTCAGCACCGGCTGAGCGGACAGCGCCCGCTGCACCTGCTCACCTGCTCTAGGCCCGCTGGAGCATCATCTCCAGGCCCGCACAACCGCAGGCCTCCCAGCTCCTCTCCATCCCCGCGCGTGCTCCGGCTCCTGTCCCTGCCAGCTTCTTACTCCCCTTCTCATTCATAACAAAAGCTACAGCTCAGGGGCCCAGCGCCAAGCTGTTTCCAGCAGAGAGCAGAGGGAGCAAAGAAGAATGGGGTTCCTTTGGACCGGCTCTTGGATACTGGTGTTGGTGCTCAATAGCGGCCCAATACAAGCTTTCCCCAAACCTGAAGGCAGTCAAGGTAAGTGAACATTTCTCTACTCTGAGCTCCCTTTCTTTTGGCCCAGCAAAGGTAAAGCTTGGTGTGACCTATGAGCTCTAAATCGCCTTGCCTAGTTATTCTAACCGGATCTTATCCCTGCATAATCGTTTTGACTTTAAAAAACGAAGGTGAAATTTTCTCCTTCACTTTTTAGAAAACAGAGCGATAACATGAGCTGCTTATAAGGATCTTATTTTGGAAAAGGGAGCAAGTACCTGTTCTTAAAGTGGCTTGGAATTTTTTTTCTAAGATAATCTATTCATTACACAAGCAGGAATCTGTGTTCTCTTTTAATGTGCCAGCAATGATAATCAGAATTTATATTTCTAATTGAAGAATTACTAAGTCAAGAATTAGAACTATGTGTTAAATTTCTGATCGGCAAACAAAAGTGTGATTACATTTAACTCAGGAAATGCCGTAATATAATAAACTTACCAACAATGATACTCATCATGAACACAAGTGATAATCTTTGCTAATATAAATTTTGTTTCATAACTATCCTGAATTATTTCTTTAAAATATTTCACTGTTTTTTATTTTAACAAGAAACATGTTTTATCACCCAAATGCACAATTAAATTTATATTTATATGTATTTATTCTAGACAAATCTCTGCATAATAGAGAACTAAGTGCAGAAAGACCTTTGAATGAACAGGTGGGTCGGATGTAAAATTGTAACTGCTATGTCATTTTATTGTCATTATCATTTATTGTAATTATGTTGTGATATTTTCACCATTTTGAATTTACAAACTTTGGGATATTAATAATATATTGACAAAAACTAAGGTGAGGAATCTAGTTTCAATAATTGTATGTTCTCACAGTTCTGTCCATTGAGTTCTGGATAATATATAGAGTGCTAGAGTGCCCACATGATGATTGCCCAGCAAGATCAATACTGCATCCACTTTTAGAAGATTGCTTAATTTACTGAAGTGTGTGTGTGGTTTGTTTTGTTGTTTTGTTTGAGACAGAGTCTTGCTTGGTAGCCTACAACCTGCTCTTCCCGCCTCATCCTCTTGATTGTTGGGATTATAGGCACATGCCACACTGCTTAGTTGAAGATTTGTTTTTAGTCAATACTACAGGAGAAAGGAATTCGTACTTAAAGTGCACCAGTCCTTTGTTTATCTCATTTAATCCTCATAGCAATGCTTTTTACAAACAAAACTAAATCTTCTAGAGATTAAATCATTTGGCTTGTATGCTTGGTAAACTGTGAAACAATGCTTTAAAATGTGGTCTGTCTCCTGTTGGTTTCACAGATTGCTGAAGCAGAGGCAGACAAGATTAAAAATACAAACCCTCCAGGTAAAAGGAAACCATACTGCTGTTCAGTTAAATAATGTAGGTCATGGGATTCTAAACTAAAATGGATGTGTTGGGCTTGGAACTTTTCTTCCAGAAAGCAAGCCAAGTGAAAGAAATTATTCTTCTGTCGATAACTTGAACCTGCTAAGGGCGATAACAGAAAAGGAAAAACTGGAGAAAGGAAAACAGTCTATAAGAAGCCCCCCATTTGGTAACACACTGGACATGGAAGATGTTGATTCAACTAAAAATCGAAAACTGATTGACGAGTACGATTCTACAAAGAGTGGACTGGACCGTAAATTTCAAGGTAAATGATTTAAAGGATGCTTTGCTATCTTTTTTTCTCACTTTGAGTTTTTCATTACATACTAAGAAAAGGTCACATACTTATAAAGCTCACAAAATATATCTAATATGCTCATGACCTGTCATGTGTTGGGTCCAAAGCTGAGGTAAAACCAAAACTTACTAATAATGTACAAAAAACAGTCTAGAGTCTCAACTTTTCCCTTTAAGGGTTCCTTTACTCTAACAGGCGTGGTGGTTCATGCCTGTCATTATAAGTCCAGTCTGGGCTACATAAAGTACCAAGCCAACCAGACTCCATTTCAAAAAAGCAATAACAGGGACAATAGTGACTGGATTCCTGACTGAGGCTTTGAAATTTTTTGAAACCTGATATCTGTATTTACATTAGTAAATTCATTTTATTTAATAACTACTACAAATAAAACATTATTTCTTCAAATAACTAGATCAATAAAATATGCCTTCCCAGTAATGAAATGTCCACTATTTTTTTGTTGGTAGTTTCCACCTCTTGCCTTTGTTCATCTAGCCATTTTACATTTAATCTCAGACTTCTCTGGACTATAGAGCTATTTCCTCCCTACCTCGCATCTTCCCTTAAAAGTCTCAGGTCCACAGAAAACTGAATGTATACCAGAGTCAGCTCATGACCTCTTTCCTCCTTGCAGATCCTCTTCGAAAGATCTTTCCTCTCTTTTGTTGCTATTTATCCTTTTTTTTTATTTCATGACAGAAATCTAAAATTGAAATAATTCTCTTTTTTTTACCTCTTCAACCCTAATCTTTCAAAACTGGTTCATTTTGCTTCCCAAGTTAGTTCCCATGTTTTCACCAACAGAAAAACTACTGTTCTCAGCCACCATTGTCCTTACCCAATACCCAATCATGTCTCATTTGAACAACAACAAAATATTTTACAGATCTCCCAGCAACTGCTTCAGCTTTTTTCAGCCTATTCATGATGTGACAACTGGAATGGACTTTTAATGTACAAATATAAAATATTGAAATATGTGCATGTCATTACTTGTAGGGGGTGCTCAATATCAAACTTGGGGCCTTGTTCATGCTAGGCAGTTCATCATGCTACCACTGAGCTACATCCACAGCTCCTCGGATTTTTTTTTTTTACAGTATTTCCTATATAGTCTAAGCTGGTCTTAAACTCATGATCCTCCTGCCTCAGCTTTCTGACTTCTGAGATTGCAAACATGTGTGCCACGACGGCCAGAATGTCATTAGGTTTTTGTTTTATTTTGTTTTGTTGTTTGAGTGTTTGTTTTTAGCCAAGACCTTGCACGTAGCTTAGGCTAGCCTAGATCATGAGGGTCCTGTGCCTCTATCTAGATGCTGGAATTATATGGGATGAACAAAGCATGCCTTCTTTATTTCCCATAAATCTCTTTTAGTAGATTCTCATTTCTCTTAGGACCAAAATCAAAATCCTTCATATAGTTCCTGTCTTCATAGGAACTGTCAAACACTTCTGGGCTTGTCCAGCATGCATGATCTGATAGACATTTTGCCCCTTGCCATCATTGCTCTTCTTGTAGTTTGAACTTTTGTATTTATAATTGTAACCACTTACAATTGCCTTTATCCAAAACTACACTGAAAAGCTCACAAGAACAGAGACATTACAGGACAGTGCCGAATAGTCATTAATTCATTGTATGATTCTATAAATAAGTGAAGAAAGGAAAGAATGTCTGAGGGAATCGGTGAACCTATGTAAGTAGAGTATTTTCAATTCTGCAGACCAGTGCTTAGAAGTGAGCACAGGCTTTCTTCTCTGTCTTTATTTTGTTTCATGGCAATGAGGAGAGTTTTCAAGTGCATTACATGTGTTGAGTAGATGGAGGCAATGATTTATGTTTTGTTATTTGGAGAATTTAAATCTTGAATTCTACTTTTTAACCTAAGGTATGTTGACCAGAAGCAAATCAATACTGGGCATAACTGCATAAAAGAAATTAATTTAATCACTCTGGTTAAACAGAACATTTGGTTTAATAAAGTAAAAAAAGAATGTAATATTTGTTTGGCTTGATAGCCACACTGGTTGTAGGCACCAACAGAGACACAGATTTGTTTGTGACTTGAGCGGCTACTTTTTAATTAGTCATTTTACTGCCAGTTTGTAGGTTTAAAATGATAGGGCTGGTCCTCATGTTTTTTGGCTTATGCTCAGATTTGCTTTAACTTTACTTGAGATCCTACGGAGACTAAGTCAAGGGTCTTAGAGAGAATGTTTTATGGGTGAAGGTCTAGTTTCCTTTCAGAGCCAGCAAATCCTAGAGCCAGAGGGTCTGAACCCACCTAGGCATCCGAAGATAGCATCAGAGATGTGCAGGCTCCAACCCCAGAGGTAGAGCGAGGGAGAGGGTCTTTGGCAAGCAATAGCCTCAGACCCAAGACTGCCTTTAAGAAAGCTCCACATTCCAAATCCTTGCCTGTTTCTCCTTATGTGCTTATGCTTGAGGTGCCTTTGAGTGTTCAGTAGCAGGAATTTATTGTGGAATTCTCACATTGCAGGTTATGACAGATAATAAGCTCTGTGCATTCAGGGACCGTGCTAAACCCAACCATCACTCTACCAGTGTCTGGCAGATATTAAGACTTGAATTCAATTAAACTGAAGAAACAAATTCCAAGTGTTAAATGAGATACTAGGTACAGCCAGCACTCTACCTATGGTGTCGGGCACATAGTAAGGCTTTGATTTTACTGGAAAAATGAATTCTAGGTATTAAATGAGATACAAGGAATACAAGATATAACAGGGAAGATAATGGCAGGCTACAGTCCTTTGATGTCTGTATAGCTGCCTAAAGGTTTTAAATTTGAATCTATGCCGGCTTCTTTCTGAGGCTTCACACGGGAAACATAAAACATTCCTTTGGGCACAGCTGGGAAATCACCTTAAGGTATTCTTCTCATTTTCAAAGAGTGTGGGGAAAACTGATGGAGGTAAGGGCAGTGGCCAAGTCCTTCACTTTTAACTGCAGCTCGCAAAGTTCCACCATGGGAGACCTGAGTTCCTGGCTCAAGAGCCCGCAGCGGCAGCGGCGCGCAGAGGAGGAAGACATTTCTTCTGAGTTTCCAGCATTCTCCCCGTTGGGAAGTAAATGAGCTGAAAAACAGTCATCTGGGTTCTTTTCCAGCGTCAGCAGGCAGCCAACATTCTTTCCTTCTCAGCTCCTGAGGGAGAAGTGGGGAGGGAAGTGAATTCTTCCTCCTCTGCATAGACGGAAGACTAGTCCCCAGCGCCTGACTTGCAACCCACACATGGAAAATTCAGACCAAAGTGATAGAGAGGCTGTGCTCCTGAGAAACAGATGAAGAACTCAACTTCCAACCAGACACGAAGGGAACTAATTTTATGATTTTTGTCACTCTGGCACTTGGGTCTCAAAGGGCTTGCGGCTGAACAACAACTCGGCCTTTGTGTATAATCACCACTCATCTTTATAAAGCCTGCGTCCAAAAGCAGGAGAGGGTGTCTGGCTGAAGCTTCAGTGCCACCATCCCCACAGTCTAGAAGAAAGGCCATGCCATGGGAGAAATTCCCTGGCCAAATACCCAAGGGTCTTAGAAGAAAAGGGCAGAATTGGGATGGAAATATGTTGTTCTTTCGTTGGGGGAAGGTGGTAAGGATTATAGTCATAGAGCTGGGTGTCATGGTACATGCATTTAATCTCAGCACTCTGGAGGCATAAGTAAGCAGATCTCTGAGAGTTCAAAGCCAGCCTACATAATGATACCCTGTCTCAAAAAATAAAGTATTATTCATAACATATCTGGCAAGGAATTCTATTTCTATTTTCTCCAAAAAATAATCACAATTCCTTTAAAAATCTGCCAGGCAGTGGTGGCACATGTCTTTAATCCCAGCACTCAGGAGGCAAAGGCGGATCTCTGTAAGTTCGAGGCCAGCCTGGTCTACAGAGTGAGTTCCAGGACAGACAGAGCTGTTACACAGAGAAACCGTGTCTTGAAAAACAAAGAAATTAAAAATCTAAATCCCCTAGGCATAATTGCAATAGTACTCTCTTCCATACACTACTGTATGATTCAAAAGGTGCATTTGCAATCTTATTTCCTCTGTTCCTTATAACTTCATTAAAGTCAAATTAAATTAACACTTATTATTCATAATTGTTTTATTGTTTGGGCTTTACAAATGCTAGACAAGCACTCTACTACTGACCTAAGCACAGAGACCAGTGCCCTTATTATTTTGTACAGTGATCCAAGGTTTATAGAGAACAAGAGAAATCACTATGCTAAACCAGTGATCTTTCCCTTCTGCCTCTATGTGACAGAAGAGTTTAACACTTTGTAAATCAGATCTGATCGATATGGTATACTCTGTAAAGCGGACCTGCTTAATGTGGTATAGATACTCTGTAAAGTAGACCTGTTTAATGTGGTATAGATATTCTGTAAAGCGGACCTGCTTAATGTGGTGTAGATACTCTGTAAAGTGGACCTGCTTAATGAGGTATAGATACTCTGTAAAACGGACCTGCTTAATGTGGTATAGATACTCTGTAAAGTGGACCTGTCTAATGTGGTATAGATATTCTGTAAAGCCGACCTGTTTAATGTGGTATAGATACTCTGTAAAGTGGACCTGTTCAATGTGGTATAGACTTCTGGGATTCTTGTGTGATGGACCAAGGCTTCACTGGCTTCGTCCCCTTTCTCCCTCACATTAGTTGTTGACATTGCCATCATCGTTGTTCTGGTTGTTTAGAGTTTGAGTTTGCTTTGTTTGAGACAAGGTCTCTCTCTGTTAGCCAAGCCTAGCCTCAAACTCATGTCAATCCTCCTGCCTCAGGCTCCCAAGCACTAGGATTGCAGGCATGAACCATCACACACAGCCCCTTTTTCTCACTCAGAATGATCCCTTGCCTTATTCAGAAGTTACATTACCAAATGAATTCCCAGGAAGACTAAGGACATATATTCACAGGCTTCTCTGCAAAATTTGCATGTTGTTCATGTAGATCTCTTGCTTTAATATTTTTATTCCAAGCTAATAAAATGATGGGCTCCCTGTCTCTTGGAGACTGGGGTTTATTATTGTTATTAAGCTTTAACATTAATCTTTGTTACATAGAGGTACTTCAGCAGCCAGGCACGGCAGTGCACACCTGTCATTTCAACACTCAAGAGGCAGAAGCCAAGGACTGCTGGAAGTTCCAAGTCAGCCAGGGTGACATAGTAGGACACAGTCTCTAAATGGATGAATGATAAATGAATAGGTGGTAAATGTATGTAACAAAAATCTTGAGTATTTCAGAAAGTATGGGCTATAATAGGATGCATAGAAGAGGTGTGTACTCGCCATGCTGTGAAGCTGTGCTTGCTCTGTCTAGATGACCCGGACGGCCTGCATCAACTGGATGGAACTCCTCTAACTGCTGAAGACATTGTCCACAAAATTGCTACCAGGATCTATGAGGAGAACGACAGAGGAGTGTTTGACAAGATTGTTTCTAAACTGCTGAATCTTGGCCTAGTAAGTAGTTTGCACAAGAGAAAACTCATTTTTTAATACAGTCTACAGTGTCCTGAGGAGTTGAGCCTCGTAATTCAAGCAACCAAATGTTTATGGGGCACCTACTTTGTACTAGGCTCCCAAGGACTCCCTTGGGTTTATCAGAAGAGGCAGATAAGCACACACACCCATCACACAGGCTGTTTGAGAGCCCTATGAGCTGTGCAGTTTGCCAGAGAGTGGTGTGTGCCCAGTGGGAAGTAGGAAAAGGCTTCAGAGGAAGAGGAGTTTGAAGTGAGCTTAGAAGGGAAGTCAGGCTATAACAAGCAGAGGCAGAGGATGTGTCTGGCAAAACCAGAAATAACACGAGCAGAGACTGGCAGTGGATGCTTGAGGAACTCTGAGCCATTGAATCCTCCCTGGTCACGACTTGGCTGCTCAGCCCTGACACAGCCCCAGCAGGTTTTACTGAGGTTCTTAGTCACAGGGATCATGTAACCGATCATGTGACCTGCAGCTACAGAGCAGCATCCTTCAGGTGTCTCTCTAAGGAAGCATCCATAAGGTTTCAGCAGGTACCACTGACAGCTTGCATGAATAGCCTACTTCTTCCTGGAGTGCTGGGCAGTCAACCACCACAGCCTGTGTAAGAAAGGATTGTCTGTTGCAAAGAGAAGCTTCCTTGATTAGGAGTGAAAACTACACTTATCTGTGGGTATAAAGATAAATGTTTGTTCTGTTGTTAGAGATGACTCTGGCTTAGTAAAGTTGTGGTTGTAGATCCTCCTCCAATATCCATGACTTCATCAGCACTGAGTAGCTAGCTAGATTTCCAGCACCAGCGTGGTTTCACCTTTGTTGAGCAGGTCCTAAGTCTGATTAGAGAACTGTTGGTTACTACAAAGGTATGCAGGCCACTAGTGTACCCTTAGGGAAATTGTGCCGTGCTGGTGTTCATTGATAAGGCTCACAGGAGTCATAGCTGTGTAGGATTGTTGGAAGCCTGCATGGTGCCTACATGTTCAACTGGGGTTTATATTTTATCTTAACTAAAAGGTCAAGAAGTGGGAACCGGACAGGACAGAAACCCCAACTAGCCAGCCATCGTGTTACAGAGTTCAGGTGTCTATTTGTTTATATATGCCCAGGAACAGGAATAGCAACTATATGTGCTTTGTCTCTTTATAACAGATCACTGAAAGCCAGGCACACACTCTGGAAGACGAAGTAGCAGAGGCTTTACAAAAATTAATTTCAAAAGAAGCCAACAATTATGAGGAGGCCCTGGATAAACCCACAAGCAGGACCGAGAATCAGGCTGAGGCTCTGGATAAACCCACAAGCAGGACCGAGAATCAGGCTGGAAAAATATCAGAGAAAGTGGTATGTACAAGAGTGTGAGGAATGTGTTCGTGTCATGAGCATACGTGTGTGTGTGCTTTTGTATCTCTGTACAATTAGTGCCTTACCTGATGCGAAAGAGTATTTGGAAAGTGTCTCATTTTTAGCACACTGGGAACATATCATATGATACAAGTATTTACAGCATCCCAAATGTGCTGGAACCAATGCTCCAAAGCTTTTTTGGTATTCCATCCATTTACATAAACGTTATCATCTATTCCCAGTGCATGTGTATGAGCGTCTATGTACACAGGGAGAGAGAGAAGATGGGAGGGGTGATAGATCAATCCTCTGCACAGAAGCCTCACACCCCCAGTCTGATCCTTCCTCTGTGTCAGGCTGCATTCTTCCACCTGCCCCTTTCCCTTTTCATTGGTTCAGAAGCCTGTCGGCTTGCAGTTCATTCTTATTTCCCCTTCCTGGGCTCCTCTCTGCATTTTCCTCTTGGAATCAACAAAGCTATGGTGATCTTGGTCTCCTCACTCAGTTCTCTTTCTGGAGAAATGTAGCGATGAAGGGTGTCAGATCGCTTGGCTTGCTTCTGATTTTCCTTCTCCAGAGTATACCGACCTGAAGCTCCCCCTCCCCTTATCCCCTCCATCATCCTCTGCAATACAAAGCAATGCTCTACAGAACGTGCTGCACTTCTGTTGTTTGCTTTGGGTTTGGGTTTTCTTGGAAGGTGATTGTTTGCTGAGTCTCACATGATATGTAAACTGGCCTCAGCTCAGTGGCAAATATGCCTTCTGACCTTCTACGTACTAGGTTATAGGCGTGAACTATCACATGCAATATGGTAATGTTTCTGTGGGTTTAGTTTTGTTTTGGTGTGTGTTTGTGTTTCTCTCATGCAGTCCAACCTGGCCTTGAATTTTCTGTGTTCCCAAGGTTGTCTTTGAATTCTAGATCAAATCCTTATGCCTCCACCTCCCAGGTTCCCAAATGCTTGGATTACAAATGTGTATCAACAGGCCCTGCAGAGATGCTATTTTAGAAGGGCCAGAAAATAAGATCAGTTCTGGCCTACTCCAACAAGGCCATACCTCCTAATAGTGTCACTCCCTGGTGATCAAGCATTCAAATCTATGAGCCTATGGTGTCCATTTCTATTCAAATCACCAGACTTTCCATAGTCATGGAGGAACAGATATACAGGTCTACACAAAAGCAGTTATGGCTTTCACAACCCTTCACTCGTTACATCTATTCATTTCTAAAACGTCCATATGCTTGGCTTGTTGTTCATGTCTTCTAAATGCACTATTGCAAATAAAGTATCCTTTCAGAGTACCAGAGGGTGCTAAGAATGCCATGCTAGTTGAGAAAGACACAATCTTCCTCCCACAAAGGTTAAGTTCCAGTGAAAGACGTAGATTGCCTCCAAACAGTGGTCATTGTCAAGGCAACCGCATCAAGAGCTTAGAGAAAGCCACCTGTTCTGCACTTAGGCTGAGAGCAGGCTTCCCTGAGGAAGCAATTTGAGTCAAAAACTAAAAGTCAAATCGGATTAACTTGTAAACAGGAGAAGTCACGTATGTGGAGTATCCAGGCAACTGAAACAAGGGCTTGTGACTGACAGGGAAAGGAGAGCGGTGCCAGGAGACTGGGGAGTAGCCCTAGCCCAGACCATGCAGAGCCTCAGTCTTATGTGGAGTCTGATGCCTACTGTAAAAGCCAGGGAAAAATACTAAAGGTTTTTACCTTCATCTGCTTTCCATTGCTATAAAGAATACCTGGGACTAGATAATTTATTAAAAAAAGAACAGGGACTGGAGGGATGGCTCATCAGTTAAGAGCGTTAAATTCTCCTCCAGAAGACCCAGGTTCAATTCCCAACACCGACATGGTGACTCATGACTCACAACCTTCTGTAACTCCAGTCATAGGGGATCCAATGTCTGGCCTCCTCCACCTTTACTAGGCATACACGTGGTGCCCAGACATACGTGCAAGCAAAACACCCACACACACAAATATAAATAAATCTTTTCTTTAAAAAGGGAAAATAAATGTATTTAGTACACAGCTTTGGAGGTGAAAAGCCCAAGATGGAATAGTTTCTGGTCAGCTTCTGGTGAGGCCCTGTGTGGCTTGCCCTGTGAGATGGGAAAGCGGAAGGACAAGCAGGTGTTTGTGTAAGAGGGGCAGGGGTACCACTCACCTTTTAACAACCCTCTCTCACACACAGTCTCTCTCACACAGTAGCTACCTAAACTAGCCCAGTCTTATCAGCAGTGGAGAGACACAGCCTAGCACAGCCACCAGCTGCCCAAGGAGCACCCTTTCACCTAGAGACTCCACTCCGGTAAAGCCAGGCCCTTGACTGCAGCTCAGAAAAGAATCCCAGAACAAGCCAGAATGAAGCCAAGTTAGCAAACGCATTAACTGTTTAGATAGGAATCCATAGGGAAAACAAGACAGTGCACACCTACAATATATGGGTGCAAAGCTCCCTGGCAGACACATTTATGTGTCTTTACCAGGGCTGTGTCTATGACCCTGTATCTTTTTAAGTCAGGGTGCGAAAAGGATCAAATTTTCATGTTTAAAAGATTAAGCAAGCTGGGGCCATAAGACGACTCAGCAGATAAAGATACCCACTGCCAAATGTGGCGACCTAAGTGGCCCACATGGTGGAAGGAGAGTGTCTAGAGCTGTCCTCTGATCTCCACCCACGTGACTGGGCACATATACGCGTGTGTGCACACGCACCCACACATACACACACACACACACACACACACACACACGCACAAATAAATAAATAAATAAAACTTTTAAAAGACTGAGCAAGCTTACAATTAAGTAAAGTTTAAAAATAAAGTAAAATATGTAAATTGGCTTCATATTGTACATGAAGCACAAGGTGCTTTTATGGGGCGCATTATTTAGATTTAGAGATGAGAAAGGGGTGCTCAATTGACAAAATTCTAACCCAAAGTATGCACAGCATTTGTCGTTTTTAACCCCCGTTTGAGAGGTCATTGACATGCCGGTATCTCTGTAGGCAATTTGGGCTTTCTCTGCTGAGTTCCTTGACTCTGCCAGCCAGAAAGTCAAAGCAGATCCCAGTGAGGGATTTTCTTCCTTTCCATGTCTTCTGAATTGGCCCTATCTCTGGCCTGCCTTGGTCCCTCAAGAAAGGCAGAGCATAGTTTCTTTTCTATCTCTGTGATAAAACACTACTGTAGGCAGAAGCTGCTTGCTCATTTCCTGGCTGCCCAGACCCAAAATAATTACACAGAAACTATTAATTGCAATACTGTTTGGCCAATAGCTTAAGCATTATTAAGCTATTAATAAACATATTTCTAGCTAGCTCTTACTCTCAAATTAACCCATTTCTATTATTTTATATTTTACCACAATGCTCGTGGTTTACTGGTAAGGTTCCAGGCATCTTTCCCCTTTGGCAGCTACATGGCATCTCTTTGACTTTGCCTACTCTCTCCTCCTCTATCTACTTGGAATTTCTACCTTGCCCTATTCTGCACTACAATAGGTCTAAAGTAGCTTCTTTACTAACCAAAGGCATTCACAGCATACAGAGGGGAGTCCCACATCATTCGATGATCACAGCTACTTACAAAAGAAGAGTTCATTTGGGCTTACAGTTCCAGAGTGCTAAGAGCCCATCACATTACCATGAGGAAGCAAGGCGGCAAGCAGAGAGGCTGGGCTCAAGGTAGCAGGCAGAGAGGCTGGAGCAGCAAGCTGAAAGTTCATATCTTAAACTATAAGCAGGAAGCAAAGAGAAAACTGGGAATGGTGTGTAGCCTCCAGTGACACATTTCCTCCAACAAGGCCATAGGTCCTAAGCTTCCCCAGAAGGCAACATTACCTGGGAAACCAGGTATTCAAATCTCCAAGACTAAAGGAAACATCTCATTCAAACCAACACAAACATTATCCATTCCTGAGGGAGGAGCCTACATGAACTTGCTATGTCTCAAAGGCCCTCAAAGGTCCTGCCTTCAACACCTTTACATTGGCAATTGAAATTTCTTTTTTTTTCTTTATTTTTATTTTATGGCATTGGTGTTTTGCCTGCATGGATGTATGTGTGAGGGCGTCAGATCCCCTGGAACTGGATTTACAGACAGTTGTGAGCTGCCATGTTGGTGCTAGAATTGAACCCAGGTCTCTGGAAGAGCAGCCAGTCATCTCTCCAGCCAAAGTAATTCAAATTTCAATGTGAATCTTGACAGGAATAGGCCATATCCAAACCATAGCAGAGCAGGTGTATGTGTGTGTATGTACGTATATGTACAGGTGCATGTGTACATGTGAGTATGTGCACATGTCGGCATGTGTACATGTTAGCACGCATGAATGTGAAGGCCAGAGGACAACCTCAGGTGCTATTTCTCAGACACCATCCACCTTGTGTTTTGAAACAGGGTCTCCCACTGACTGGAACTCAGCAAGCAAAGTAAGATAGTTGTCATCAAGCCAAAAAAAATCTGCCTATTCCAACCTTCCTAACACTAGGATTACAAGCATATGCCACTGGGATCAACTTTTATTTTGTTATTTTTAAATATAATTTATTTATTCTTGTTTTGTATGCATTAGTATTTTGCCTGCATGTTTGTCTGTATGAGGATGTTGGATTCTGGAGTTACAGACAGTTGTGAGCAGCCATGTGGATGCTAGAAATTGAACCTGGGTCCTCTGGAAGAGCAGTCAGTGCTCTAACCACTGAGCCATCTCTCCAGTCCCATCAACTTTTATTTTTAATGTGAATTCGGTGATCAAATGGGACACTTGTGCTCATAATGCAAACACTTTACCAAACCAGATTCATCTCCAGCCTCCTTGTAGTAGATTTTAAGCAAAGTCTTTAAAGATCAAATTTGCTAGAAAGATACTTCAATCCATAGGTCATAAGATACTGAACTGAGAAGACATTGAGATGAGTGGTATACCAGTTAGAGAGAGGGGTGAAGAACTGCATGGGTTACTGGAGAAAGGGATGTAAAAACTGCCATAAGATTTGAAAGTAAAGCCAGCAAGGATACTGATAGATCAGATGTGGGGAAGCAAAGAAAAAAGAAAATCTCTTAGATTTTTGTCTAGTCTACAGAATGGCAGATGAGCTTTCACCAAAATAAGAACAAAGATCAGGTCTGGGAAGAAAAAAAAAATTACATATCATCCAGAGACAAAAGTTCCAAGGTGTTAGTACAGACTGATGGACAGTTTGAAAGCTTTTCTGGTCCACCCCACTCCACCCCTATGCACTGTATGCAACAAAGCCCTCTCCTCAGTGAAAGACTCATGGAGAGGAACGTGGCCAAAGCAGAACTGTAGAAATCCCCAGTCTAGTCTCTCCTGAGCCACACCAATACACTTTCTCAAGAACTCCTACCTAGAACCTGCAGGGCCTTGTGAAGGAGAAGGAACCCCAAGGTCATCTGAAAGGAGAGAACTGACCTGGAGCTGCATTCATTCTAAACCATCTTTATTTGCTATTGTCATTTCCCCCTCCCTGAAGACTCCAGCGGCAGCCGTGCACGATGGCTTTGCTAACCGAGAAAATGATGAAACCGTATCTAACACCTTGACCTTGTCGAACGGCTTGGAAAGGAGAACCAACCCCCGCAGCGAAGATGACTTTGAGGAACTCCAGTATTTCCCCAACTTCTATGCATTACTGACGAGCATCGATTCAGGTAACCACCACTTTATGACCGTGAGGAAGGGAAATGAGACAGTAATTCTTGGAAACGTGTGGGTGGTTTTCTTCCTGTTCGTGGTTTCCAAGTGCAGTTCTCTATGACATACACTATTGGCTGGGAAAAACATTTCAGTTCTTTTTTTTTTTCCGAAAGTAGTGTGCTAGTCATGGAAAGGGAAATCAGGAAATGGGGAGTTTCTGGATAATTTAATCTCGTTAACAGACAGTTCATTTATTTGTTCAATAAACAGCCATGGAACATCCGCTGTGCACAGGTACCCCAATCTGTCACGTGCTGAGATGATTCACTGACCTGCCCTGACCCAGCTCAGTCTTCGCTCTTACTATGGCTGCTTTTTGGTTACCAGCCTTTTTTATTTCATTTATGTATTTTGTGTGTGGACACGTGTGCCACGGCGTCCAGATAAAGATTGGAGGACAATTTGCTGGGATCCGTCTTTTCCCTCGATTGCTGCGGGCCCTAGGAATGTGATTCAGGTCATCAGGCCTGGCAGCGAATGCTCTGAGCACCCATGCTGTCTGTCTCTGTGGCCCTGCAGCTTTCTCTAATGCTCCGTGCTCAGCTTTATTAAGGTGTACTTAATATGTGTACCCCTGTAATCCCAGAATCCTAGCTCTTTGGGGGGCTGAGGTAGAAGGATTACCGTGAGCATGGGTCCAGCCTGGTCTATATTGTGATATTGTGAGCTTGAGGCCAGCCTTAGCTACATAACAAGATCCTATCTCACACAGATACACACACACACACACACACACACACACACACACACAATTGTATACAGTAGGCATATAGCATGGTGTTTTAGTGTTCATCTGTATTATGAAATGATCATCATGGTATGGCCAATGACTGCGTCTATCACCCATCCATATAGTTGCTATTGTCTCTTTCTTCTTTTTTAGTCTTGTTCTTGTGAGAATGTGATCTAGCAGATTTCAAATATGTTTCCAGTGTTACCAGTCATGTTGCCAAGTTTCACAGACTCCAGACTTTTCACACTACAGAACAGAAACTTGCTACCTTTGACCAGCATCTCCCAGTCTTACCCAGCCCTGGGCAATGACATTCTACTCTTCACTTCAATGACTTAGCTTTCTTAAATTCCACATGCAACTGTCTTTCTATAAGCACAGAGGTGCCAGGACCTCCTCTGGATACCAAAATCCACACATAGTCAAGTCCTTTATATAAAATGGTACAAACACCATGGCTAAAGCTCAGAGGTAGCGTCTGGCCTAGCATGTCCAAGGCTTGAGTTTGATTACCTGAAACACACACAGCCCCTTCACACACATACACACATACAGAGGTGGGGAGAAAAAGAGAGAGGATGGCGGAGAGGGAGCTGGAGTAAGATATAGTATTTTTGTATAATCATCACACATCTTCCCATGGACTTTAAATGATTTACTTTCAATGCCTACCACAATGGAAGTACTATACAAATGGCTGTTAAACTGTATTGCTTGGAGAACAGCGGCAAGAAAATGACCTGTCCAGGCTCAGTAAAAACGCAGTCATATTTTTTCTTTAGTATTTTTGATCCTCAGTTAGTTGAATCCATGGATAATGAAGCCTTGGGTTGGAACTGAGAGAATGCTGTCTCTGTCTTTGTATCTGGATTGTTTTACCTAGTGTGTTTTCTAGGCACGGTGTCAAAAAAAACAAAACATCAAGAGAAAATCCTGCCAGTTGTATTAAATCTTGTGCAAAGCTTTCAGTTTCCTTTCTCAGTGGGAGCCTTCTTTGCTCTCCTCTAAATTATTCAAGACGTTGCTTACTAGACATGTTCTGCTTTGGTTTTCCAGTGAGTTCACATGAGCATGGGATGAAAGAAAGTCCACAGCCCAAACACATCTGAGAAATTGTTCTTTTTCAAACGCGTCCTCCCGAGTCTCTTCAGTCACGTGTATACAGAGCTGTCTGTAGAATTTGGCTTCTGTGTGTTTCTGGTTAATCGGCAAATGATGAGAGTCTTAATCTCTTCTGTCACTATTCAGGCAGATGCCCCACATTGCCCCAACAGCTTTCCCCGTCCCTGCTGCAGCCCTCAAGTGAACAACTGGGTAAATTTTCTGGAGTTGTAATCTGGTCTCTCCATAAAGTGATCATAGAATGAGCTTCCAGCCTCAGAGAATTCTCTTTGTCCTTCAGGTCCAGATATTGACCAGATGGCACCAGCCTCTCTCCTTGAATCTGCCAGGCTGGGTCTGGAGAATCTGTTCTGAGCCATTTTGCCCCATGGGTTGGCAAAATGACCAGCTCAGAATCTGTGTCATTCTAATGAGTCACTCTCCTCAGTGAAGAACGTCAGCATAATGCTAAAAATACTGGCCCACCCTTGATCAAGGGATGGCCAAAGTCATTTGTCACGTCTTTTTTTAGGATCTTCCTAATTCATCTCCTAACTCAGCAACCTGTGAGGTTTTTGATATTTTTTAAACTCCACTGTGTGGAATGTTATTTATTTGTTTTATCTTTCAGTTTTGTTTGTTTGTTGTAAGGCGGTGTCCCAGGCTGACCTCAAACTGTATCACCACGCCTGGTTTATTCAGTACTGGAATTTAAGCCTTAGGCCCTAATATACACTAGGCAGGCACTGTACCAACTCAACTACAATCCCTACCCCAGAAGTGAATTCTTTTCTGTCTATTTTATTACTCTAACATTTCAGATGAAATTAAAGCCCCATGGGAAAGTTAAAATGCATTCATTTCTAAAAGCAGTTTTGTATAGCTATAAACTGCCCTATATTCCCAATTGTGTCTTAGTTTTTGGGTTTTTTTTTGTAAGTTAAATGTTTGTGCGATTCGTTATAAATAAAGGGGAAGCTATTTCAAACATTACGCCTTACTTCACAAATTGGCAGTGAAAGACAAAACTATTGTCTTTTAGTTGTCTGTAAATTATTTTGCTTCTCATGGGTGCTGGAGACAATGGCTCAACAGCTAAGAGCAACAAGCAGCTCTTCCAAAAGACCCAAGTTCAATTTCCAGTACCCACACCGTGGTCACACCCCTCGGTAACTCCAGTTCCGGGGCTCTCTCACCCTCTTCTGGCCTCTGCAGGCAAGCATGCCTGTGGTACGCAAATATATATGAAGACAAACACTCATGCACCCATAAAGTAATAGAGATAAAATTATTTTAGTTAATAATTTTGTTCTTTTAACATAGAAAAAGAAGCGAAAGAGAAAGAAACCCTGATCACTATCATGAAGACGCTGATCGAGTTTGTGAAAATGATGGTCAAGTATGGCACTATATCTCCAGAGGAGGGCGTTTCCTACCTTGGTGAGAATTCTGCCCTATTTTCACCATGGCCGCTTTCGTTGTTCAAAGCAAATTAAGGATCTGGCAATAATCGCCTCACTGATTTGATGATTTGTGCCGGAGCAGCCCAGATCTCCAGGGTAACGGAGTTGCTCGGCTTAATGACGCATACAAATACAATTAATTAGACCTTCTGTACTTTTCATCTTAATAATTCACTTTCAAGAAAAACCTTTCACATTTTTTATATTAAATCTTATCGGTGCTTTAAAATAATCTCCAGGGAGCAATTTTATTACAACTTAGGCCATTAACATTTTTTTTTTACTTGTGTTTAGAAGTCTGGGTTAAATCTTGATTTCCCCCTCTAAGTACTGTATGTGGCAAGCAGAAAGAATACTGGCTAGGAAAGCAGGACCCTCACTCTGCTGTGCTGAGAAGGTCCTGCTCGTTTTGGGGGGTATGGGGGTCGTTGAGACAGGGTTTCTCTGTAGCTTTGTAGTCTGTACTGGAACTAGCTCTTGTAGACCAGGTTGGCCTCAAACACAGATATCCATCTGCCTTCCAAGTGCTGGGATTAAAGGTGTGTGTCACCACTGAGTGGCAAGGCTTCACTTCTGCCTGTTAAATGAAGGATGAAACAACTCTCAGGTCACACTCAATCACTGACAGAAGTCATGGCAGGAACATAAGGCAGAAACCTGGAGGCAGGAGCTGATGCAGAGGCCATGGTGGAGTGCTGCTTACAGGCTTGCTCAGTCTGCTTTTGTACATCACCCAGTACCATTAGCCCAGGGGTGAGACCATTCACAGTGATTCGGGCACTTCCCTGTCAATCATTAGTCAAGAAAAGGCACCACAGGCCAATCTGTTGGGGGGTGTTTTTACAACAGAGGTTCCCTCTTCCTAAATGAGTCTAGCTTGTGTCAAGTTGACATAAAAGTAGCCAGCACATACATGGTACACATACAGGCAAACAGGCAATTATTCATACACATACATATTTAAATCTTTTAAAAGGTTAAAATGCAGTTTATGTATTACAAGTACTCAATTGTTTTGATTTTTTAAGGGCTTTTGTTTCCCTGAGAACTTTTCAACACCCATGTGCATGGGCAGGGTGATCTTAGTCTCTTACTCTGCCCGGGCAAAGAGAAACAAGTAGATGTAGAAATGCCACTCTGGTCAGCATGACCCAAATTATTCAACATGAACCCTGAGTTTTACTACATAGAAACAGTTTTACTAGTTGTATTTTTATTATTAAAAAAGCATATTTCTTGTTTTTTTTAAAAAAAAGTCATTCAAGGCAAAAAAAAAAGAAAGAAAAGAAAAAAATGCAAAAGAAAGTTAAAATCACTCCTGATACTAATCCCCTCATAACATTTTGATTTATAGTCTTCCAGATGTCTTGCCTGTGTAGGTATATATGTGAGCATACCTAGTCTCTTTGTCTTAAAAAGAAGTGTGTTCAGATTACAGTTGATGTTGTCCAACCAACTCTCTTCCTCTAACACAGTGATTTTCAACCTTCCTAATGCTACAACCCTTTGATACAGTTCCTCATGTTGTGGTGACCCCCCAACCATAAAATTATTTTGTTGTAATTTGGTACTGTTACGAACTGTAATGTGCTTTCTGTCTTAGGCAACTCCTGTGAATGGGGTTGTTTGACCCCAAAGGGGTCATGACCCACAGGTTGAGAACCTCTACGGTTACACAATGTAATGTAAATATTTGATATGCAGGATATTCAATATATGACCCCAAATGGGTTGCAACCCACAGGTTCTAATAGTAGCGCAGACATTGCTCAGGACAACGTCAACAGTGTGACTTGGGAAGTCTGTGCTGTCATTTCTCCTGTGGAATTAGGTCAAAGACACTGCAGAGGCTTATGTGTAAGCAGCTGTTTCCACTGCTACCTGAAGCTAAGTGTCCACATGGTAACCATTAACCACAAGTTGCTACGTAAGTGGGAAGTCATTAAAATTAAGTGCTTACTAGCTAAACCAGTTGGCCAGGCATGGTGGCTCAAACCTGTAATCCCAGCACCAGGGATGATAGGGTTAGGAGGATTAAATAGGAGTTGGAAGCCAGTCTTGGCTTTAGAGAAAGTCTCAGGTCAGCCTAAGGTAGAATAAGACTCTGCTTGAAAGTACATTAAAAATAAAAATGAGTAAATAAAAAATCTAAGACAGGAGTTGGGGCACATACCCATAATCACCGCATATGGGAGTGAACGTTTAATATCATTTCTCAGGAAATTAAAGCATATTTCTTCTCTTCTTTTTAGAAAACTTGGATGAAACAATTGCTCTGCAGACCAAGAACAAGCTGGAAAAAAACAGCACTGAGAGCAAAAGCAAGCTTTACCCAGGTAGGATGTACGTAACTGGGGCTGGTTTTATTTGTCCTAGCTGCTGAAAGAATAGCTACTTTAGTGGTAAAGAGTGAGCTTCCGTAACATTAATAGAGCATTATAGAGCTCAAAACATTTTAAAGTCTCAACTTCAAGCATAGTAATAACCACATGTAACCTTGGCTACTTTGTAGCCTGTCATGCAAAGAATTTGTACCACCAAAAGCATGGAAAAGTTCTTTCATTTGGAGTCTTCTTTGTTGTTTTTTTGTTGGGCTGGGAATTGAACACAGCGTCAGTGTGGAAGGCAAGCATTCTACCATAGAGCCACACCTCTAGTGCTGCACTAAAATGTTATGTAGATATAGAACAAACACTCTTTAGGAGTGCCTGATTATGAAACTGAGCGAATCCTCTATTCAAGCCTCCATTTGTGTCTCTTTCTTAACAGTTCTTGAGACCACCATCCCAGGCTGTCTGTCATTCCCCACTGCCCCCACATCTCTTCTCCATGTTCCCAACCCAGATCACCCACCCCTTCGGGATGCTCTCTGCTCCTCCGCAGTATGCCCCTTTTCTATGTTTCTCTTCCACCCACAACCCCGCTCTGCCCAGCCAACAGCACAGAACCGAGCTGTGTGAAGAATCTTCCTCTCAAGTGGGGAAGGAGGAACAGAAAGAGAAAAGATTGCAGGCTCTGGATTCTTATGGTTTAACCATTTTGCCCCAGCACAGAAATTATATACATGTTGGCAATGCTGTACCCTTAAAAATGATGCTTTCATGCAGAGTTTTTTAATTTGTTTTGTTACTAGGGCGCAAAGGCAGTCCTGTATGCTTGCTGGGCAGGCATTCTACCTCTCAGCTTCATGTTTAGCCTTCAGATGGGCTATATTTATTTATTTTATGTGTAGTGTGTGTGTGTGTGTGTGTGTGTGTGTGTGTGTGTGTGTAGAAACCAGAAATCAACATCAAGTGTCATCCTTGTTGCTTTTCATTTTATTTATTAGGACACGATCTTTTTTATTTTTTTTATTTTTATTTTTTTTTTTGGTTTTTCAAGACAGGGTTTCTCTGTGACTTTGAAGCCTGTCCTGGAATTGGCTCCTGTAGACCAGGCTGGCCTCGAACTCACAGAGATCCACCTGCCTCTGCCTCCTGAGTGCTGGGATTATTAAAGGCGTGCGCCACCACTGCCCGGCTCAAGACACAATCTTTAATTGAAACTGGAGCTCATAAATTTGGCTACTTAACTGGCCAGTAAGTCCTGAAGCCCCCCTGTATTTGCCTCTCCAGTGCCAGGAACTCAAGAGGTCAGAGATAACAAGAGGGTTGGTAGTTCAAGGCCAAACTAGGTTACATGAGATCTTGTCTCAAAAAAGAAATTAATGTTGTTTGTAACCAAGACCTATATAGCTCATTCCAGTTGACTGTTAACACTAACTAAATTAAAATAAATATGATTGAGGGTATAACTCAGTGGTAGATCACTTGCCTAGCATGCATGAGACTCTGGGTTTGATCACCAGCCGAGGTCCTCCTCAGAGAGGGAGGGAAGGAAGGAGGGAGGGAAGTCAAATAACCAGCTTTGATTGTACATGCCAGCTGTTCTGAAGGCTGAGGCAGGAGGATTGCTTGAGCTAGGAGTTCAAGGGCAATATAGTGAAAGTCAATCTCTAATATAATAATAATAAAGCAAGACAAACAATCGCTCTCTGATGACAGTGTGACTGAAGGAAGAGTGTCCCTGCAGAATCTGGAGTGCTAGGAGTCTGGGCCCTGCTTCTTATTAATTCAGTGGGTGACCCTGAGCATCTCTATCTTCCTGGGGCCTCAGTTTCCCCTTCTGTAAAATGATAGTAGAGGGTTGGATTAGATAACCACAGAGATGCCTTTCAGTTCAAAAACCATAACATGACCTCAGACTGTATCTTTTCAATGAAGTTTGTTCTGCATTAAGAATTAAGAAAGGTAGGAGATGGTGTCATAACCACCATGTACTATCTGATCACAGTGCCATCAGAGAAGAGTCACGAAGAAACTGACAGTACCAAGGAAGAAGCCGCCAAGATGGAAAAGGAATATGGAACCCTGAAGGATTCTACGAAAGATGCTAACTCCAACCTAGGAGGAAAGACAGATGAAGCCAAAGGTATGGATTTACCAGGTCTGGGTTGGCAATAAAACTGGGGAAGTTTTCAACACTCAAGTAGTGTGGTCCAAAATAAAGCCCACTCCCCCCAGCACAATCTGCATAGCTAAGATTCACAGAGTGGGGTGATCCAACATCAAGCCCACACAGCACAGTCTGCAAAGTTAAGATTAGCATGTGGCACCCACACTCAAATAGCAGGGTGTTTTAATGGTCTTCAGTCTTCTGGGATGGCAAGTTGGTTTCATTTTTCATTGGGCTGTTGTGCTTAGGAAGGGATATTCATAGTTGAGGGAATATCTGCAGTCATTTATGTATTTTTGTAATGTTCAGTTTATAATCCTAATTGACTGATCAATACTTATTGATTTCTTTAGATAAGAAAGGATGTACTGAGTTTATAATTCCACATTTTGATGAGTTGGTTTGGCTTAGTGTTTTGAGACACGTTAGTCCAGACTGATCTAGAACTATGTAATCCAGGCTGGCTTCAAACTCATGGCAACCCTCCTGTCTCAGCTTCCCATGTACTAGAATTCCAAGCATGAGCAATATTTCTTTAACTTGTTTAATAGTTCTCTAAATAATCACAATACAGCTTACTCAGCCAGTTCACTCAGAGTCTGGGTTTAACAAAGCAAACTCTGTACTCAAGAGGGATTCGGCCTGGAAATGTCTTTAAGAACTTGATAAAAATCACAAATTCAATAGATCAATTTGCCTTAAAAGGATAAATGTATCTATGGCCCACAAAATTCACATCTTCTTAGTATTTTACAAGCTTTCCCAGAAGTCAACTTCCCTCCAGGAAAAAGACTCAATGGCGCTTTATGTTCTAAATTGTTAATACTTTTGATTGGGGCAGGATGTGGGTTCTGTGGTATGCTCATGGTTTTATTGCAAGTTTCATAGTTGTAGAAAAATTATATCCCTATGTCTCAAGATACCTCACTTGAAACACTGCTTCTTTATCAGAAGTTGGGCAGAAATGCTTGACCCTGCTTTACCTTTCTGTCGCTAAGAAATGTTGACCTCTTTGGTATAATTGAAGCCTGCTAGGTCATACCAGTGTCTCATTAGTAGGTTCATCTGGACATTTTATTCCTCAGGAAGGGAGGAGAGTGGAAGTGGGTCAGTTCTCTCTCCTAGGGGAGAGGAATTGGCAGTCAGCTAAGTTGTCATCTGAGAACATAGCACTGACGGGACTCTACATTGGTTCTGTACAACTTTCCGTGGTAATGAGTGGGTGGGGTGGGCTTTGCTTTCTCTTCTATGCTTCTCTGATATATGATTACCTGGCCCCTCATGCTTATGCCATAACTCTTTAATATTCCTTACATTTATTTGTTTGTTTATTTATTTACTCATTTATTAAGTGGGGAACACACACGCATGTGTACATACACATATTACAGCACACATGGGTGGTCAGAGGGCAGCTTGTTCTCTCCTCCTACCATGTGAGATCCAAGGATCAAACTCATAAGCCTGACAGTACCTTTACCTACTGAACCATCTCATTGGCCCTATATTTGCTAACACTTTTTCAGATTTTTTTAAGACAGAATCTATGTAGGCTTGGCTAGCCTGGAGCTCACTGCATAGACCAGGCTGTCCTCAAACTCACAAAGATCCACCTGCCTCAACCTATCCAGTGCTGAGATTAAAGGCGTGTGCCACCATGCCTGGCTGTTAACTATTTTATATTGCTTTTCCATTCTTGTCAATTAATGATGATTTTATGGAAAAATTGGCATAGTATAGTAGAAACCCCTTATAATTTCACTGTTGTCATCTTAGCACCCCATCTTCACTTTCTGGAAATAAGATATTCTAGATCCACTCCAGATTTGCTTTTCACAAGACTTGAAACCAATTCCCTCAAGGAATTCTGTTTCTTCCCTCCCTCCCTTCTTTCCTTCTCTTATTCCTTCATGTACAAAGGTCATATTCCCCAGGAGCACAGCAACCACACAATAAGTCCTTTAACCTGCTTAGGCAGCATGCTGAGTGTTGCTGTGCAAGCATCCGCAAGTAGGGTGTAGCATGCCTTTTCTGTTTTTAGAGAAAACACTGAAAATGGAGCATGAATGGTGGGTGGTAACGACTGACTATGTAGAATATGAACGTGTGTTAGCCACTTTTCTCTCACTACAGTGAAACACCTGAGATGCGCAAAGAGAAAGGTTGGGTTTTGGCTCACAGTTTGAGAGGATCCAGTCCATCATCTGTTGACCTTGTTGCTTTGGGCCTGTGGTGGGTGATACATCACAGGAGGAGCCCTGACAGAGCAAAGTCACTCCCTTCAAGGGGGAAGAAGAAGGTAGAGGCTGGAGTCCCACCTTCCCTATTGAATGTGTCCCCCACCACCACCTCTGAAAGTTCCCACAACTTTAAAATGGGGCATGAATGTGGTTGAAGGCAAGGCTGATGGGTTTCTATTTCTTTTTTTCTCTTTCTCTCTCTCTTTTTCTTTAAATACAGGGTCTTTAACCTTAGTTGGCTTGGAACTCACTATGTAGCCTAGTCTAGCCTTGAATTTGTAACAGTCCTGTTGGCTCAACCTTCTAAGTATTGGAACTAAAGACGTGAGCCACCATACCTGGCAGAGATATTCTCACCCCTCTACATAGGCAAGCAAAAGCCATGCGCATGCACACACATCCCACCGAATGGTGAGCATGGTGAGCATGTATGCAGAGTACAGGCTTTCCTCAGAGAGAAAGCTGGAGGCACTGCAGAGTGGAACATAGAATAAGGTAATGGCTCAGTTAAAAGCATCTAAGGAAATAATTGTAAGCAGGACACACTGGCAAGAATGTCTGCAGTGTCTCTTTTGGTTTTGGAGTATGAGGTGATGGTCCCATATAGTCACAGTAAATATTTCTTAACCATGCCAAGCCTAGGCTTATATCACTTCACTTTACAAAGCGTGTCTACACGCATTCTGTTTCATGAAAACACAGTCTAGGGACTGGAGAACTGGCTCTGTAGTTAAGAGCATTGCTGCACTTGCAGAGGACCTGAGTCTAACTCCCAGCACCCACATCAGTGGCTCAGCACCACCCATAACTACAGCACCAGAGAACGCAGTGTCTTCTTCTCACCTCCTTAGGCATGAGCACACTCGTGGCATACCTTCACACAGACATTCATAAACAAAAATTAAAATGTTAAATCAAACTTAATTTTTACCACAGAAATAGAGTATTTTATTTATTGATTAATGAACAATAATTCATTTTCCTTTTGAATATAATTTATACTATTTAAGCTATTGCTTTCAAAAGGAACTCATATTTTGTATTTATTTATCTTGACTTTTTAAGACAGGGTTTCAGATAGTCCAGACTGAACTTAGATTTAATATGTAGTTGAAGCTGATCTCAAACTTCTGATCCTCTCGTCTCTACCTCCCCAGTGCTGAGAATACAGATTTGAATCACCACACCTGACACAGACGAATATTTTTTAACATGATGATTTTTTATTGGTAAAGTTATTCGTATGATTCAATAGCTATTTCTAAATTTAGGAGTATGTCAATAATGAAAACTTCTATCTAATTCTAACCATATCCAGAAACTTGTTAATTTTTCTCTAGAGACCAAAGGAATGTCGTTTAAAACATTCCATTATCTAAGCTCTGCTCCTTCTGCCAGTTGGATGTTTACTTACTCACTCTTGATGTGTGAGTCACTGAAAATACTTTTTTAATTAATTGATTCATCTTTATGGGACGTGTGTGTGTGTGTGTGTGTGTGTGTGTGTGTGTGTGTGTGTGTGTCCATAGAGGCCAGAAGAGGCACCCAATACCAGGAACTGAAGTTACAGATGGTTGTGAATCACCATCCGGGGTCTAGCAACAGAACCTGAATCCTCTGGAGGAGCAGCCAGTGCTCCTAACTACCGAAAAAACCTCTCCAGCCCCTTAAAACATCTTCTGAAAACTCATCCAAGGGATGAGATAAGCATTGTAGCACCATAGGCTCGTTCCAGTGCCACCATTTGTCATGTTTCTAAGTGGATACTGGAACTAAGATGAAAAGGGTGGCCTCTGAGGTGACTTTCACTTGAACGACTTCCCATTCCCACCCCTGTTTTATAGAAAAGTCAGGCTATTTAATTCATAAACTGACAGCTCATGTGGATCCCTTCTTAAGCAACAGACAATTACATGCCTTCATTCAGGTCCCAGTCGCTCTGTTAGACTCGTTAGAGTCTGGTCTCCTGTGAGTTGGCAAGCGAAATGGGAGCTCAGGCAAACCCAGAAGACTTGCTTCAACCTACGTTTCTGAAGGACATCAAAGGAAGCGTCTCCTCCTGTGTAAAACCATAAGTTGCCTCTCCAGAATCCACCCCCTAATTAACAAACCAGTAAAGCAACACACAAGAAATGAACTGACTAACGTAAGCACTCATGGCCAAAGAGTAGTAAAACTGGGCCTTGAACCCATGACCCCGACTCTTAATCCAGGGCCTTCTGGTGTTCATAACGGCATCCTGTGGCCACTTAAAATACTATCCCCGTAAAGAAATTATATTTCTCCTCCTTCTTACCTACCCCCTTCTTTTTTCTTCTTCTGTCTTTATTCCTCCTCCTTCTTTCCTCAAAATAACCTCTCGCATACCCTAGCTGGCCTCAGACTCCCTACGTAACTGAGGGTGACCATGATCTCCTGAGTGCTGGGATTACAGAAATGCATCACCATTTAAACATACGTGGTGCTAGGGATCAAACCTGGGCTTCGTGCATCCTAGGCATGAACTCAACCAACTGGTTTACATTCTCAGTGAGTGGCTTTATGACCCTTCCTGGTGTTTGTGCCAGATGCTTTGAGATGTGCAATTCAAAACTGTAGTCCTCTAATAGTGACAGCGTTTTAAGCATTACAGAAAACAAGTCTTTATAAATACTTGTGTTTTTGTCATTAATTTCTTTATGGTGCGCACACACCATAGCAGGCACACAGAGGTGAAAGCCCAGTTTTCAGGAGTCAGCTCTCTCCTTCCACCACGTGGATCGGGGGATTGAACCCAGGTCATTCGGCTTGGCAGCCAGTGCGCTTATCTGTTGGCCCATTGAGGGGAGCAGGGGGAGTGGGGTCTTCTGTTGTTATTTGTGTTGTAAATGTTCTTAAAGCTCTAATGTCATTAGGGTCTGCAGTACTCAGTAGCTCAACCATATGGATTTCTATGCAGGGCAGGAAGAGGTCAGGATAGTACATCAGGGCCATGTGTATGAAGGGATATTTCTCTTATGGCACTGAGGACCAGAACAGCCAGAGAAGCAGGCCTGCGTCTTGACTCTGGCTCCCTCCCATCTACTTCAGCATGTGTTTTAAGGCTCATGCCATATTACCTCAGCCATGAGCTATTTTTTTCCAAGGACTGCTGAAATAAATTGGGGGAAAAAAAAACCAGCCCTGTGTTCCAAAGTGGACTCTCATGAGCTTTCAGTGCACACTGCATAAATAAAAGATTTACTTTGCAGCTCAGGGAAGAGAAAATATAAATAAAAGCCAGCTGCTCCTCTCCAGGAGCAGAGGACATCTGACTTCATCCCCACTTTTACCCATGTCCCAGTAAATGTGTGGAGGACTCAGATCTGGTGACATTGGCTGCCAGACTTTGCCACACATTCGAATAACCTCAGGGTTATATATTAAGAGGCTAATATTTGATTCCTTACCCCTAGATATGTGTCAATTTTCAGGGTTCGTCAGTGGGCAACAAAGACTTAGAAGCACAGATGAGGCTGTGTGAACATGCCTGAAGAACAGGAGGCTGAAGTACTGATCTGTCATGTTATTTTCTATCAGTTGAGAGCTCTCTGTTATCATAGGTGAATAAAGGAGGCCCGGGGGCTCAGCGGTTAAGAGCACTAGCTGCTCTTCCCAAATACCCGGGTTCCATTCCCAGCAGCTGGCATGTTCATAGCCATCCTGTAACTCCAGTTCCATTGAATCCCGTGTCCTCTTCTGGCCTCCATGGGCACCAGGCCCACAGTGCATTTACATACATGCAGAAAATACTACCATACATATAAAATAAAAAATTAAAGCCAGGCGGCGGTGGCACGCACCTTTAATTCTAGCACTCGGGAGGCAGAGGCAGGTGGATCTCTGTGAGTTCAGGGCTAGCCTGGTCTACAAGAGCTAGTTGCAGGACAGGCCCCAAAGCTACAGAGAAAAACCCTCAACTGAACTACATGCCATTTTCAGGCACTCAAAATATTTTAACCTTCCTAATTCAGCATTTTTAATATAGTTTTTAAATAGTGAGTAAGTATTGATTTTGTTTTTCTCACATAAGATTTCCACATTATAATACAATATCAAAGATTAGATTTTCAAAAAATGCTTTAAATTATTGTTAATTGTTTAAGGCAGAACATACTAAGATATACTCAAAAGTTTCAGAAGCCCTAATTATCTAATTTTCTAATGATAAATTTTATCTATTTATTAGAATATATTATATGAGGAAAACTAACTTGAATTAAACTCTTTATTAGAAGAATTAAGTTTGAAGTAGACTACACTGCACTAAGATTTCTTTCCTTGTTCAAAATGTCTAATCTAACTAAATAATTTTGAAATAGAAATCACTATATTACTAAATCCAGAAGGAGGCATGGTGGCTCACACCATAATCCCTATACACAGAAGACAGGCAGGAGAATAGCCACCAGTTGGAGACCAACCTGGTCTATGTAGAAAGTTCCAGACCAATCAGGAATCATGGAGAGAACTTGTTCAAATAAATTAATAAGCAGACTTACCAAATCCTGCTGGTCAACTCTCCAACAAGTAACAAACAGCGCCAACGCTCTTTCTTGTACTGAATAGTTAACACTAACTTGGGACGTTCTTTTGTACGTGTTCTGACTCATATTCCTTTACATGTGTTATTGTTTATGAGGTAGGGTGTGTGGAGATCAGACAGTTTTCAAGCACCAGTTCTCTCCTTCCCACTTCACATTGGTTCTCAGTATCGAACCCAGGTCGTCAGATTTTTGAAGCTGTCTTACCAACCCCTTCACCTGACATTCATGAAAACAAGCCTCACATTCCTAGAAACAAACCATTGAAACCAAAGCCGCTCTTGCATAGGTGAAGACAGCAAATAGGGGCCAAAAATTGTGGCAAGTCCCTTTTATTGTCCATTTATCCCTTTTCCATAGAAGTTTCTCAGCACTTCATTGGGAACCTGATAGCATGAAGTCATAATAATAAAGTCTACGTGGGATTCAGGCCAGGAAGAAAGCTGTCCAGAGAGTCCTCTTAAATGCAACTGTGGAAATATAACCCTGGCAGGTCTTAAGGCAGTGATACACTGCACATAGACTGTCATCAGAATCCCCAAGTGCAGTCCCGGCTCTACAACTAACTAATATATGTGTGTGTGTGTGTGTGTGTGTGTGTGTGTGTGTGTGTGTGTGTGTATGATATTGCTTTACTCTCTCTGTGCCTCAGCTTCTTCATCTGTGACATAAGCAATGATGAATGATGTTAGGGCTGCCTCAAAGAGTTGTTGAGAGGAAAGGGTGGATGGGAATGCATTTTGGAGCAGGAAGAATAACCTGTGGTGTATGGTAAGCACATGGCCCGGTTAGAGCAGACAGAGCTCTGCGGTCACTAGCGGCATCAGGGCTCAAGGTGGCCGCTGATTGATGGCATTACCACACAGCAGCTGGACAGCCAGCTCTGCAGAGGTTCTGGACTCTCAAGGCCTCTACTGTTAGATGAAAGAGAGAGGGGGAAGCTTAGTGTAGGAGGGTTCATCTTTCTATGTGTTGCTTTCATTGGTTAATTAATAAAGAAACTGCTTGGTCTGATAGGCCAACATAGGTGGTTAGAGTAGACAGAACAGAATGCTGGGAGAAAGAAAGTCAGTCAGACGCCATGATTCCCCTTCCCGAGACAGATGCTGACTAGACTCATGCCGGTCAGCCACGACCTTGTGGTGGCATACAGATTATTAGATATGGGTTAGTCAAGATGTGAGAGTTAGCCAATAAGAGGCTAGAACTAATGGGCCAGGCAATGTTTAAATGAATACAGTTTCCGTTTAATTATTTCAGGTGTAAACTAGCCGGGGAGCCAGGATCCTGGTGGGAATGCAGCCCACCTTTTCTTTTGCAACAAAAGCTACCTGGTGTCTTGCTACACTTTGAACATGGAGAACTTATCTCGTTAGAGATGATAGATAGCTTCAGTGTCGGCCGAGCTATCTCACAGTCTGTGTCTGATGGTAGGATCTGGTCTTTCAGATGGTGCACATATGAGAAACCACGCAACACAGGCCAACCAATGCTATTATTTCTTGGCCTTAGTCAAACTTCAGAGTCCTCATTCTTAAGGTAACAATACCTACTTCCAGACACCAATGCCAATGCTATCCCAGAGCCGGTGCTCAGTTATGCTGGGAAACTCCACCAAGAGTTGTCTATATAATTTTATATTCGGTATATCTAAAGGAGTTTTAATAGAGTTGATTCAGAAGTTCATCATTCTGACAGACCCAAAGGCCTGGTCCAACCTTTTCATCTGAGTGTTGACTTAGACCCCCCTCAAAACTGGGCTTGGAGTGTCAAGAGAGACTACAGCCAGAGATTGTGAACCTTCAACAGATAGAGGTGGCAAACACCTGCCATTCCTACTCATGCTTTGACTTTAGACTGTTCCTCACAAGAACCATCCCTAACCTGAAATTTCCCAATCTAAGAATCATGGGGACACATTGATCTGGGAAATGGAATCGAAATGTCTAAGCGGAAGCTGGAGAGATGGCCCAGCAGCTAAGAGTTGATAGTGTTCTTGCAGAAAACCTGACTTCAGTTCCCAGCACCCATGTAAGATGGCTCAGAAGTGCCTTTAATCCAGCCTCAGGGAATCTTATGCTTTCTTCTGGTCTCTATGGACAACTGAATTCACACATGCACACACCCACCCACAGACACACACAAATACATACAATTAAAAATTAAATAAATATTTTTTAAAAAAAGCCTACACAGACATCAAACTAAATTTGTGTGTGGCATAACTAACCATTCTCGATACCTCCCAACATGGTCTGTGTCTGGAATCTCATTCACAAGTGTTGTCTTTGAAAACTCCCTACACAAGAGCAAATGTATGCACACTTGAATAGAGACTTATTGTTCAACAAGTTCAGTATTTATGGTTTTGAACATTGTTGTGGCCTTGAAGAAGTGGCACAGTGAAGTTTTATATTTAATCTGACTCTCCTGCCTTTTCCAGGGAAAACAGAAGCCTATTTGGAAGCCATTAGAAAAAACATCGAGTGGTTGAAGAAACACAACAAAAAAGGCAACAAAGAAGGTAGGGGCTTGCTGTGGTTGTGCATCACAAACTTCACCCATTCCCCCAGGGTTCTTTTTATACTACAATCCTTGAAGTCAAATTGACTGAGTTAAAGTATCCTCTCAAACTCAGTCTCTCAGATGTCAAAGGGGATATGCCCCCCACTTCTCTTTTGGTTTTTAAGTTATCATAGAGAAGAATGGTTTTGTTTGCTTGTTGTTTTGTTTTTGAGACAAGGTTGCACTGTGCAGCCTTGGCTAGACTGAAACTTTCTATGTAGATCAGGCTGGCCTCAAACTCAGTTTCACCTGCCTCTGACTTCCTAGTTCTAGGATTAAAAGTCTGTAATACCACACTACACCAAGCCCAAGTCTTGGATTTTATTATGGCATTTACGTAATACTTTGTTATTATTGGTGTCCTCTTCCTACCTCCTCCAACTTTTTGCCCTCTCCTATTGGTTCCTTCCTTCAGTAGCTCCACTCCCACTCTTTTGTCCCATATATTTCATGATCCTTGTCCCCCGTAAGACATCTTCTTGCCCTTTCCTGTCCTATGCCCTTACACACACACACACACACGTGCGCGCGAGACATACATAAGAGTTAAAATCAAGAATTTGTATCTAAAAGAAGAACATTCTGCTTATCTTTCTGGACCTGGTTTATTTCACTTAACATACTTATTTTCAGTTCTATTCACTTTCCTGAATTTCTCGTAATTTCATTTCTCTTTACAACTGAATAAAATGTCATCGTGTATATGAGCCACATTTCTTTACCCCGTCACCTGTTGGTGAGCATCTAGACTCTTACACTGTTGAGCTGCCTTAAATGGGGCAGCAACAAACATGAATGTGCACACAACCCTGAGGCAGGACTTAGGACCACCGTATGACTCATCTATACCACTCAGGTTTAGACTCAAAGGACTTGACTTGCAGTCTTTTTTAGAAATCACTAGACTGGTTTCTGAAGTAGCATAGCAGTTTATGTTCCCATTGTGGTGCGTAAAGACCTGCTTCCCTGACATCCTCAACATCTACCTGATTGGATCTCTGTGAGTTTGAAGCCAGCCTGGTCTAAGCAGTGAATTCCAGGATAGCCAGAGCTAAATAGTAGGACACTAAAAAAAAAAAAAAAAAAAAAAAAAAAAAAAGGCTTGTTCAGTCCGTTTTACCCATTTATTGATTGGATGATTTCAATTTGTGTTGGTGCAGTTACACATGGACATATGTGTATATGTGGGAGGTCAGAGTTTGCATCACCTGTCTTCCTAAATTGCTTTTTACTCTATTTTTATTACATTTGGGGAGGGGTGCTGCATGCCATGGCAGGTCCCTAGAGATCAGAGGACAACTTGCAAGAGTCAGTTCAGTCATTCTCTCCTTCCACCATGTAGTCCTGGGGATCAAACCTAGGTTGCCAAGCTCTCAGCAAGATCCTTTACCTGCTGAGCCACCTTCCCGGCCCTTGATATATTTTTTTCTGAGATATAACCTGAAGCTAGCTAGCCATTGGCAAAATTGGCTGGCCAGTGCACTTCAAGAATCTGCCTATCTTAATCAGGTATGGTGGTGCACGCCTTTAATCCAGGACTTAGGTGACAGAGGTAGGTAGATCTCTGTGAGCTTGAGGCCAACCTGGTCAGCCAGAGCCACATAGTGAGACCCTGTCTCCAACAGAAAGAAAGAAAGAAAGAAAGAAAGAAAGAAAGAGAGAGAGAGAGAGAGAGAGAGAGAGAGAGAGAGAGAGAGA